TTATACTATTATTATTATAATATTACCTAGCTTCCGAGACAGTTCATATTTTACAATGTTCAAAAAATCTAACACTTTCGTCGACCTAATGACAGGGAGATACTTCATTTTTTACGACGCAATAGTGTAGTTAGCCAAGTATCATTGACTTGATACGTTTAATAATCTTTTAAATGATTATTGATATTGCTCATCCTACGTAGTGTGCTAAATAATATTTTGTTTATTAGCATTCACACATAAATAAATAATTATAATATCAAGTTTAGCTATTTATAAAATATTAAATTTCTGAATGATTAATAATAATTTTAGTTTGAATACAATTATGGAGAGGAGAAAAGAAAAAAAAATTAAATGTGTTTGGACTTTATACAATGTTATGTGTAAAATGTGCTCTAATTTTTAATGAACATATTTTGTATTTTTAAACATGAATTGAAATCAAACATACCTATTATTGAATAAGTACCTACATGCTCTAACAAGCTCATATAGTTTCTAAATTATCATTACTGTTCAAGTCAAATAACTTAATATTTTTATGTTAGGATATTAAAATCTACGAAGACGAACATTATTTATGAAATTGTTTGATAACTATAATATTCAACAATCTGTATTTTAAAATTGTCATATTTTATACTGTGTTGGTGTCCAACAACCAATTTTTTCAAAGTATTGCATTTTGTTAAACATTTTTTTTTCACATTATAGCATGGTACTGGAGGAACCATTGCCAAAAGTGTTAACAGACGTGTTACCATTAGTGTGGTTCTTACCTATAAGAAAAAAGGAATTAAAGGATAGAAATAGGTATGTATGTCCCGTGTATAAGACATCAGAGAGAAGAGGTATATTGTCCACAACTGGTCATTCCACCAATTACGTACTACCGATGTTTCTGGACACCAACAGAGAGCCCTCTCATTGGATATACCGAGGAGTAGCTCTACTTTGTCAATTGAACGATTAAAATAGTTTTGTATCACTAAAAGTGATGTTAACATTTTATTATTCTGTTATTTCATTTGTTAAATTAATAATAAATAATTATAATAATAAACTACCTAACGATTTATTTATCATCGTTTCCACTCCATAGAAGAACAAAAACTGTAAGGTATCATCGTTTTATGTTTGTGGCTTTAATAAATTATACATTTTAATAATAATATTTAAATTAAATAAATAAATTTACATTTAATTAAGATAGCTTTAATTTTGAATGTTATAAAAATTAATTCAAGTTAATTTTTGCACTTCTCAAGAAACTATATAACCCATGTGAAGATAATTTAAAGATATCCTTACACGATTCCTTAAAATACGTACTACAGTGTATTATCGATTGTTATGTAGAGACAAGTAATCTAAAAATAAATAAAACAACAGTAGACAAAATAAAATAAAAATAAATTAAGTACAAAATACCAACAAAACAATCCATCAACAATAGTATGAATAAAAATTGAATTACACTTTTAATTTATATTCTTATTTTAAATGTTTATAAATCTTTGAACCCAAAAACAGTATATTATTCTGTTTTTTTTCATAACTTGTATATCTTAACTTGTTTTAATCAATTATAAATGTACGTAATTATTATTAATTCAGTATTTATTTCACACAGTTTTAAAATTAAATGTGACATCAACACTCAAATACCAAAAATATACAGTTTTTTATAACTTAATAGAATTTCTTAACTTGTTTTAATCAATCATATTTTTAAAGCTGCATTGAAGTGGTACTTGAAGCATGGTAAGCTTAAAAATATAGGTAAAAATGAAAATTATAATTTAAAAAGAAAATTTTGACTAACCACTCCCAATAAAAAGAATTAACAATACATTATTATTTTTTATAAGTATTAACTAAAATTCATATATTCGGCTGGTATCTTATATATAGGTATTGGAAAGATATTAGCAAGTGGCAAAATCATACCTACTATTTTTGTCCATGTACAACAATAAATTTATAATAATATTATTATATTGCGTATTTGTGCTTAAAAAAAATGTTCGATATCAAATTTATAATAATAATAAGTTATAAGTTGCCAAAAACCATTTAGCCTAAATCTGTTTGTTTTAAGAAGTATTTAAGACAAAAGATTTTTTTATAAGCAAGTTCAAATTTTGACAAACATTATTAAATTGATGATTTACAAATTATTTTGTAGTTAATAGTGTATAAAATGTTCAATTTTTATAACCAAGGATGGAAAATATTTAGAACAGGTCCCACATAGGTAATTTATTCTGTAACCAAAAAATCTGAAAATACATATAAGCACAGTTTTTATTTATAGTTATTTTAATTTCAAATTTGGACGAAATTACATACTACAACCAAGAATAACGTGGGTACATGAACATTTTAGAGAGAATAAGTCTATTAATATATTTTATACACACAATGACATTTTCAAATGCAATTTTTTCGACAAAAATAAATTTGACCTACTGTAGTACTAATACTTAATAGTTAATACTAAAATAAATAACTTTAAACAGTTTAAACACAATAACATCATAAAATATATCTACTTATTAGTAATATTATTATATATGCTGACAGATCGTTTTCGCTCAGAATCGTTTTTTGTATACAATGATTTTATATCATTGAATTCAAATTTAACACATCCATTGCAGTGACTCTCTAGACACATAATTTTAATTATCAAAATGTATATAGGTAATAATAATCCATCAGCCTACTAAAATAATAAATATACGTGTGCCGAACAGGCCCGGATAGAATCAGCGAGTTACCGAGTTCAACTCTGTGGGACGGTTTATATTTTGGTAGATTTTGTACTCAAATTACTCTTTATAATATAAGCTATTAGGTTTTGGGCTGCCAAGTGAAAGTTCTGAAACTCGGCGGGTCGGTAAATTTACCCTATCCTACATTGGTGCCGAATTAATCTCATTACAGCTCTTGCTTCATATATTTCTGTACTCCCGCAGGTCATCGGTAAAGTAAAAAATCTATATTATTTGATTAACATTTTATTTCTGTATACGTTGAACGTACTCGGTATAACTATTAAGTGCCTAGTCCAATATTAATTATTATTGACATCAAAATCCTTCCGCATACTCCTCCGGTTTGGTAATAATTAGTCTGTCACTGATACATCGCACCTGCAGAAATAGACAAAATACAACGTGTTAATAGGTACCATATGCCACGTAACATTAATATAATAATATATAATGTTAATCGATAAACAAGAAAATATAAAATACATTTTTAAAAAAAGTGCAGACATTTGGCCATCTGCTGCCGGGGATCGAACCACGGACGTTCATTACCTGTTGATTAAAAGCTTCTTGTTTTGCTTAAAACGGATTAAATAGCCATTTTTTACAGAACTTACTGAATGAGAAATGTGGAAAAGAGTTGTGAGCATCTAATCTAACTTTCCAGCTGCACTTACACCTCTTACTGCAATTGGCTTTAGAGGGTTTAGCTTTCGGAGAGCTTATTTAGTTTCAACACATCTTTCGATCGACGACGCCATCGGACGTACTGGTATTTTAGCTATTTTATCGAGTATTTTAATACACTATTCGTTTGTTCTCATGGCAACGAATTTAAAAAAAAAAAAACAATTAACTGTGATCTGAGTCTATCCAAGATCATACAGTTAACTCTCGATTATGCACGGAACAGAATGACATGGCAACCGCACGGATAAGTAAATTATGCAGTTAACTTATTTACTTATAATATAGTTATACTATTCAGTACCCTATAGAGAAGTTGAGGTTTGCTATTTCATTACTATTTGTAGATTTTTAATGTTTATTAACTGTCTTATGTCATGATATTTAAAATAGTTATTTTTAAAATTATGTGCCGGAGTTTGAACATATTATACAGTATACAACATAATATACATAAACTTTACAAAACATACTGTATAAAATTACCTTTATAAATCAAGTAGGTAATTTTATAAATATTTTTATTTGATTTATAAATGTATTTTTTATGCTGTTTTATATGTTGAACTCCGTTAAGTTGTTAATACATTGAATATTACGTAACATCTTAATTTTGAACTTATAGACAATTGTTGTAAAAACTATTTGTTTGTTGTTATTATGTTGCTTTTGAGTTGTTGAGATATTAAATTTATTAACATTTTGGTATTTCGATAGAAATGTTATGCCCTCTGTCGTACAGCAGGACACTTGTACGCGTTACGGCTAACCACTCATAGATAGCGCAGGTAATACCATTAAAATTATATGTTCAATACTTAAATAATAGTAGTGTGTGCCGTAACTTGTATAAGAAATGCGCTGAGTAAAAATTCAATTTGTTAACAATTCCATCAAAATGCATTTTTATAATAATTATCCGAAGAGAAAAAACATTACTTTTGAATTTTGATCATTGATTGCAGTTAAAGATAAATATAGTATATTACATTCAATTGTCTTAATAAACTCAAACGTTTTAATATTGTTTAACAAAATATTGTGATTACGGTACTTTTTTAGGTACCTTTATATTAATGTTATTATAATAAGTTTAATGTTACCCATAACGATATGATGTTTACAAATTGGACGGATTAATTAGTGCTATTTTGAAATTTTGAATTGGGTAAATCTGACACTGGCCGTCTTTGTAATTGCGATAACTACCTTTATAATATTATTGTACCTACCTAGGTACCAATAAACGATGACAATATTATTATTAATGATGGATCAAACGGGTCAATCGTAATAATCTTTGCACATAGGTAATAGAAGGATACAATATTATTTACAATAGTCGTGTTGTAGACATATTATTTAAAATTTGGCAGCGAACCATATCCGACGTTTTGGTTTTCAGCTTGTCCGCATTCATTATTGACATGATAATGATGATAATAATAATATAACATCATAATATTGCATGAGATGATTCACCGTTATATTCATGTAAAATATATTATAATAGGTGTACGTACTATGATCTCGTTTATCTGCTCTGCGCGCTGTACGCACGGGAACGAGTCGTTGTCCCGTTGTTGAAAAAAAAAATATATTAAATCGACTACAGTTGATTTTGTGTTGGCGCAGTAACATAACAACCGCCGTCCGGTTCAGATCTTCGAATTTTCCGTTTTTGATTCTGTCGTGGACCACGTGTACTAGCCACTAGGCTACGCGGAGTCGGCGGACAGCAGTTGTACTCGGATATATTATTATAACACTGCAGGTAAGTATTAGTAACACGATTGCACATTAATTAGTAAAAATAATTAGAGTTTTACGTTAAAAGAATCACTCTGTATGTAATATTCATATTTGAATTATCAAACTGTTTATAATACCGTGTATAATATTATATAACTTAACAATGTAGTGTAATTTATTTTTGTGTCGTACAATATTATTACAATGTAGTAGGAATATATTGTAAATAGGTACGCATAAAATATAATAATATTATAGATCTATTACCTATTAACTGTCATTAGTCATTACACATTTATACTATTGGTGAATTTCTTAAGCTATAGTAATCAATAATAATTTAAACTATTTGTTGTGTGCAATCGGGTTTTCTTCTCAAATATAAAAAAGTAAATATTATGTGCAATCGTGATATTATGTCTTGTAAAATATAAAATGGTAAAATGTGCGCAATCGTGTTGTGATTTTTGCAGGTAAATAGGTAAAAAGTGCACAGTCGTGTTGGACAGAATATTGTATACATCGTATTTCACTTTAGCTGCAAGCGGCGGCCGCCACATGACTCTTCATCATTTCCGGACTTCCTGTCCGGTCGTCGTGGTTGTCTTGCTACTGGCCCTGCTCTTCCCACCGCTGACGGTTGGGTCTTCCGGTAAGTGCCGGTTGGTCAGTTCTCTCCGCGACGAGATCGCCAGCTATCGTCCCGTTGTGGACCGCGTGCTCTCGTACGTCCAAGATCAGAACGGTTACAAGGGCAGGACATGGGAAGCCCTATCCGAGTTCACAGATACGTTCGGCTCAAGGTTGGCCGGCACGCCAAACCTCGAGAACTCCATTGACTACATGATGAACACACTGAGGGCCGAAAACTTGGACAATGTGCACGCCGAACGCGTCAAGTTCACGGGATGGCAAAGGTACACCGCATTATACGTCCAAAAATATATTCAACGGTTTTTAGTTCATAATATACTGCTGCAGTAGATAATAATACAATAATATATTTAAATATGTAATTATATAATTATATGTATAATATAATACATAAAAGTGATAGTAATTAATATTATATTGCATAGGTCATAATATAATACGTACTAATTACAAATTATTATATAGATACTGCATAGTTGATAATATGATAATATGAGTAGGTAAACTGTCAAGAATGATCATAACTCATAAGTGATCTTGAATTATCCATCACCTGAATTTTAAAATAGGTTTTGAGAAAACGATGAAAATATAGTTAAGGTTATAACGTAATATTTAAAAATGGGTTGAAATTTGATTTTAGAAATATTATACAGGTAGTATGTATTAAAAATTCAGAAATTCCACACTTGGGTTTTAATAGATTACCTACCTAGCATAAAATTTGAAATTTTGCTTGGATAACAATATACGTCTCTTGACTATATACATATATACTAATAAAATGGGAAGATTCAATAATAATAACAAATTAGAAATATAAAACAGCATTGGCATGTAAAACTGGAATAAAGTCAAACTTCCCCATCTATTTAGTCGATTTACATTTTGGTACCTATATCATATAATAAACCTATCAATAACTATTATACAAAACAATAATTTGGCAAACATTAATAATTATACTCAACAAAAATAATTCTACATTATGGTATTATATTGTTCGATTACGGTTTTAGACGTAAAGAAAACGCTGCGTTGGTGAGACCGAGGTTCAAGAACTTGGCTATGTTGGGGCTGGGCGGCAGTGTCAGCACGGTTCCCGAAGGCATCAGGGCTGAAGTAGTGGTGGTCACCTCGTTCGAAGACCTCTCCAATAAATCTTCACTGGTAATATCTATATAACCTATGTATCATATTGCCTATACTAATCAACGATACGCCATCTCTATATTGAAATATTTATTCGATTCATCTCTAAAAAATAACTTTAAAAAAATATATAATATATATACAAGCATATTCATTATACATCTGCCAGGTGAGCGGAAAAATTGTCGTGTACAATCAACCATACGTGTCGTACTCAGAAACTGTGGTATACAGGGCGTCGGGAGCGAGTGAGGCGTCCAAGTACGGTGCGGTGGCCACATTGATCCGATCCATCACTCCGTTCTCGTTGAACACACCTCACGCCGGCCATCAGAGTTACAGCGACGGCGTAAAAAAGATACCGACGGCCTGCATCACGGTCGAGGACGCCGAACTCTTAAACAGGATGTACAACCGAGGTCAGGACGCGTCATAACATATTATTGTAAATAGGCGTCACTATTGATGGGAAATTTTTGTTTTTGCGGAGGGGGCTGGGGGAAGATTGGCTGATTTAAGAGCGAAAAAAATATATTTTGTTTGATTCAAAAAATAGTATTGTGTGAAAACTTACAATTACTTTGGAATCTTTAAGAGGATATAAAATACCACATAATTATTATAATATTTAATAACTGCACTTGGGTATATAACAATAGTATTGTGATTTTGTAAAAGTACAACACAAATATATAATAATATATTGTGGTTAGGTATTATCTAGATTTTAACGTATGTGTCGTATAGGCATCAAATTGGAGATTTTTTTGAAAATGGATTCAAAATTCTTTAACAACGCTACATCCAGAAACACTGTTGCCGAAATCCAAGGCACAACAGATCCCGACAAAATAGTGCTGGTGTCCGGGCACCTGGACAGTTGGGATGTGGGGCAAGGTGCTATGGACGACGGTGGAGGTGCGTTTATTAGCTGGAATAGTCTTGTCGTACTGAAGAATCTCGGACTTCGACCAAAGAGAACGATAAGGTATGTTATACTTATAATAGTGTAAAAGAACATAATATTGCATGATACATAATTCATTATTGATTTGATGTTAATTTTTTGTATTTTTCTTCCTTTATAGTGTATAAGTTTATAGTTTATTCTATAGCCTAAATATTACCCAAATTCGAACATCTGTTAAATAAATTATATCAAGTTGGTACTGAAAGTTATTTATTGAAAAGATTGTTTACTGTTACAAAATAATTATTATATAACGATTAATTTTTATTATAAATTACTGACGGCATTTCATCACCATTAAAAATGATAACAATTTAAAAATACTTAATTTTCAGAATTTTTAAATTAACTTTTGACTGTTCACATATAACTATTTACGAATTCATATTTAACAATTATTTAAGCCTTAAAGATACTTGAGAATACTTTTGATACTTTTTTTTATAAAATTTTAATTTGTTGGAATAGGTTCCTACAAATATACAAGGTTGATTCAGGTATACTTAGATATATATGTACTATATTTGTGTACTAAGTAATTAATATTTTAATAATTGCTCATAAATTACTAGTTATTTGCTCTGTAGTATTAAACTTCGTATTAGTGTGTAATGTGTATACCTACCATTATGTAGATATGTACTTTTGTATCGGGTATTTCATATTCCTATATGATATTATTTATATTATAATAGGTTTTGATGATTCTTATCTCTTTGCATACAGATGTTTATTGTGGACAGCTGAAGAAGAAGGATATATAGGGGCCTATGCGTACTTAAAAGGACATAAATCAGAACTAAATAAATTTAATTTGGTCATTGAATCGGACGAAGGGACGTTTCAACCGTATGGAATTGAGTTTCATGGTTCTGAAACATCAGCGTGCATTATGGTCGAAGTGGCCAAGTAAATATCATGATATTGAGGATTTTTTTATCAGTATATACTAAAATAAAAATTAAATAAAAATTATATTGATCATGCATCGACTGATTTATTTCTAATGATTAAATAATTTCAGGTTGTTTGACTCCATCAATGCGACTTCCATGAAATCCAGCAAAGACAACGTTGGTTCGGACATCGAGGTATTTGAAGATCTTAATATACCCGGTTTGAGTTTGTTGAATAGAAACGAAAAATACTTTTGGTACCACCATACAGAGGCCGATACTATGGCAGTCGAGGATCCAGATTCGTTAGACTTAAACACTGCAATGTTTGCGGTTATATCATACATCATTGCTGATTTATCTGTAGAATTACCAAAATCATAAGCTTCATAATATTGGGTTGGCATGCCCGACGTTTGTGAAATTAATACCGTTTTCGGCGTTTTCTACGAATAGGTTAAAGCTTAGTCAATGTTATGTTTAAATCATGTTATCTATTAGGCATGTATTATCATACATGTGATAATGTACGTGTTGGACTTAAATTAAAGTTTTTTAACATATACTTTTTCATTGCGTTTAATAAATATATTTTTAAATTTTTATTGTGTACCTACCTACTATTTAACTATTATTTAAGTTAGTTTAAATTTAATGCAATTTGGTTATGTTCTTATATTATATCCAAGTGAATTATATTATTTAGGTTGTATGTATTAAATGTGGAATTATATTCATATTATGATGATTTAAATAAAATAATATTTATTGTAAAGAACTTCACAATATACTCTTGAAAGAAACTCACGTTTTACATTCTAAATAGTTTTTTGAAAAATTAACCGGATATGCTTCTGTTAAGTGTAGGTATTGATAAAAATCGATACAATTGTTCCAACGAAGTCGAAGATTTTAAATTTTTAACTATTTACGATTTAACCCATATCGCAAATAAAGTATTTAAGTTTTTTTTCAACATGTTCAAAAACTTTTTTTGATCTCAGTGGTTTAATATCTTTTTTTTGTGTGATATTAAACAATACATTCTGTACTTTTTCCATCGGGCCACGTAGGCATAATGTGCCGGGCTAAGCCCCCTTTCGACTGCTGAAACTTCTTCAAATGTTTCCTAACTTAATTATGTTCATACATGTTGACTGTTATTTCTAGCCCCCTCTAATTTTTAACCATATACGCCTTTGCTTTGGGACATTAAGGCGTTATTATCATTTTCTTGACGTACGTTTGAAAAAAAAACACTCTTGGTTAAAAGTCGAAAAGAAGTCCGAATAATGTCCGATGATCATATAGTGTTGCCGAAATCATTATAAATTACATTTGAGTTACAGAATAGTGAGTTCACAATTAATATACATATTACATACTGATATGTGAACGGTGATTATTAATTGTATTTTCCAACGGAGATCGCTGCTATGAAATATTATCTCCGCACCCGAATATCAGACCGTCTTTAATATAATAATAATAACAATACGTCGTCGTGAAAACACGACCATGACATTTTGGCATTCGAGAGACATGCAACGTATTGAAAACAATTAGGACAAAACCCAAGTTCTGAGGGAACAATGCCAAGTATGTCATTTCTTTTGTGTAAATTATTTTATGTTGAATCGAATGAATAATTAATTTGAACGCACAATAATTTAGTATCTGTCACCGTCATTCAATAATCATTACTTAACACAGGAAGACGTCGTCAATTTGACGACAAGCATATACAGCTTGGTGCAGGCATCGGGGAGTTGGTACTCGTGGTATATGTACCGGTATGGCCGTTTTCGAAATCTATTTTCTCAATAATATTACTACATAATATGTACTTTAGTTATTATCTGATTTAATGTTATTTATTCGTTTTTCAATTTGCAATAACCAAACTTCAACAATCTTTCTGGACAATTATTATATAGTCTATAGTAATTATTAAAATACTTTGAACCTGAAACATTTATAAACAATTAATTTTACTTTCCGGTAAACTTTTTGTTAAATATAAACTTATATGAAGAATCTTTTACTACATTTTAAAATCTCAGGTATAAATAAAAATGTTTATAAAAAATTTAATTTGACTGTATTTTTGATATTTTTTAGTTTATATTTATATGAAAAACGTATGAAGAATCATAAATTAAATTATCATACTTTTTGACCGAGTGAAAATATTGTTATTGACATTTACCGACAGTTAAACAAAAAAAAAGTCAAAATATATGAATTGTTCATAAATAGCTCAAAATATTTAAATATATTATCATATGCAGAAAACGCATATAAACATTTGTTTTTGTAACTGGTAAATATTTACAGTTATTCGTTTTTGAGTTACACACAAAAAAAAAAACAATTTCGTGGTTTTGCTTAAAATTCTCGTTTTTCCTTAATTTATTTTCTTGTTTTTTTCCGATTGTTGAGAAAATAGGGAATATTCAATTTTGATTTAAAAAGTACAAACTAGATCCTATTTGCTATTATAAACCATTCTTTGAGCCGAAAATCTAAACATTTTTTTCTACTACTTTTCGTGTATACACATATGCAAAAAAAACTAAAAAATAAAAACACGAGTCATTGTAAAATCAATATATTCATAACTTCGTTCCAAATATTAAATAGAAATTTTATTCCATAAAACAATTATGAGTTCACATATTAAATATTTATAACATCATCACTCAGTACGATTGAAATCGTTATATATTAATTTTGTATTTTTGTGAATTATATTAAAACCCTATTTTTATAATATATTATGTTGGCCTAAAGAAAATTCAATAATAATTATTGATACTTGTTCAATAATATTATTTTTTTTAACGTTAACACGTTTTCACAATTATTATTTCCTATCCACATCTCTCTCAGCATAAATCAAAAACCGTTAATTTTTCTTTTCAAGTATATTTTGTAGTAAGTAGAATAACATTGATTTAACACAAACAGGAAGTACTTTTAAAATGGTCATTATTTAAAGCTTTTACCTGGGGTCATTATATATTTTATGAATATGTATACGAACTGTTTTGACAAAAAAAAAGTAGGTAATAAAAGATTTTGTTTAACAATGTTCATCCTAATAAACAATGCCCATGATAAAGTGTTTGTTTTACGGGTGTGTACCAAATGAAATAACAAAAGTAAATACTGTAAGTTAAAAATGTAATAAAAAATTGTAATGAATTGTGTTGTGAAAGAAAAAAAAGATTATGTACATATAATACCTATTATAAAGTATAAACCATTGTATAGGTATATTTTTAATCTGTTTAATATTGTGAAGATATTTATAAACCAAATTCAACATTTTTAGACTGTATTTAATTTAGTGATGTATGGATGTTTTTAGTATATTTTTGTTCATGAAATAATATAGGTATAGCTATTGTATTACATAGGTTTAATATAACTTTATTTTATGTTAACTAAATAAGAAGTAACTAAGAACTATTAAATTAATTTTAAACGTTTGGAGTTAATTTCTTCAATCAGACAGTTTGGTTAGTCTGTAAATTAGTTCACCATTGAATGTCCATTTGTAGGATTTGGAATTGGGTTGTAAAAATGTTATAAAAAATGTTTGGACATTGACTTCACTGATACTTAGCTTTTGAACAACTAAACAACCGTAATTAATTTTACAGTAAATTGTATTTCTTTATTAAAATCTCCTACAGTGTCTATCTTAAAAAAATTGAGACGAAAGAACTGAGGTAAAAACTATTGTAGGCGTTTATTGAAATATAATAATAAATAATAGCAAACTGTAAGCTTTGAAGTGAGTGATTTCAAGTTGCTGATCTTAATTTTTTTTATGTTCAACATGAATATTACATTTTTATGAATCTCGTTTTTCAAATATGTACTTTAAATTTTTTAGAATAATTTGTTATTTGAATAAAAAAAAGCAAGTTACTGATTTATTGTATAGTATTTATTTTTATTTGTACATTATCATGTAAATTATTTGTACGCATGCTTGTTGTACATAACTGTGTCAGACAATTAAAAAAAAAAAAATACTGTCATAATTTTACTTCACAGGGCATCGGTTGGTTATTGAATACTGCAATAATATTATCAATAGTAAGCTGTGCTTTTTCCATAGCAGCTTCAATAGTATTTCGTCCAGCAATATGAGGTAGGATAACTAAAAAATGAACACGCAAATTGAAAATAATTATTATTTTTTGCAGAGGTAATCATTTTTAACTATGCACTAACTTTTTTATGTTGTAATATTTATGTAAAACTAAAAACATCAAAACAAAATATAACCATGTAGTTAAGTATTTTTTAAATAATATTATTCATAATTTATAGTTCATACTTAATTATTTCAAGTACACATATACGTTAGGACAGGGTTGGGGTGTAGATAAATGCGTGTTATGTGTACGTAAGACTATACGTATCGGCTTAATTACTAGTCATTTTCGTTTCTGGGATTAACCAAAACTCTCAAATACGTGGCTTTATAATACCAATAAAATGTAATTTGAAAAGATAATAAGTTATAAAATATGTTCATTTGTAAAAAAATATTTTTATACAGGATAATAAAATTCTAACTATTATAAGTATTATAATTTATAATAAAATAAATAACCAAATAAGTTCAGAGCTCACCAATCAGTTAAAAGAATTTATCCAATAATTTTATTTTGTTTCAACTTTATTCTTCTGATAACAATTTCATGACACATTTTTAATGAAATTTAAAATAAAGGGTCGAAAATCTCCAAAATTAAAATATACTTGAAGGTTGAAATATAAAAAAATACCTATGCATAACAGAATATTTTATTTTCATTGACAAATTCACAATTTTATGGAATATATTTAGAGCTAACATACGATACAGTCACCCAATGTTGCAATGTTGCAAAGTACAATTATGCAAATGCATAGAAACAAGTGCTGATCACTGAATCCTGATCACTCCATGTTTGAATTACCAATCCAGATTGATTTGGATTGAAACAAATTCCTTAAAATAAACGGTATAAATTATTACCAAAGGCTTATAATTATCCGTAGATACAATTAATGCTATAAATCTAAATCAATCTTAATTTTATTATAATGTTATATTAATTATTATAACACAACTTTTATATTTTTAAATTTTTAATAATGCATTAAAAAAGAATATTTTTCTATTATTTTTAAAATGCAATTTACGTATTCATGTGTATAAAATAATATGTATTATATTATATTAATAAATGTGGACACATTCGTCTTTTACAGTTCTTTAATTAAATATTTTTAATGTTATAGGTTTAGAATCACGTATCTAGTATACCGTAAAAGTTAAAAGGACTAGAAACAGAAACTTTCCGGTTTCTAAATTTTACCTCTAGTTCATTTTAGTTTGAATAATGGGTTGATTACAAAAATCCAGATAATACGCTTATTGAATCCAAAATTTGAATAATTCAATAAATTATAATCCGGATAACAGATTAGTCAAAATATTGCTTAGCAATAATACATATCTAACCCTAATTTATAACAGTTTACGAAATGGACCATGGAACCAATGGTCATTATCGGTGCCAAGGACACTATTTCTTCCGAATAATGTCTCCACGAAATTCGAAGTGAACCGTGTGTTAAATAATTATTTATCACAATATTAAAACTTACTGCAACAAAACTCTTACCAACGTTATCCATTGTTATCAAAGGATGGTCTAGTGGAAGAGGTTCTGGAGTCGTTACGTCTAATCCGGCTCCACGAATACGTTTGGTCCGTAATGCATCAACCAAATCATCTTGGTTAATTAACCCTATAAAATAACGTGCATTAACTTTACAGTTTTTGGTTTTACATAATATTACTTTTAGTTATAATATTGCGTTTAGCTGAACATAAGTGAAAATTCTTGTTTGGATCTTAGACACTATATGGTTTTTGACTTATTTTAATAATTGTCGATACTTTCAAGCTCATCATTTTTACATTGTACATAGGTAATGGTTAATAATTTTAAATGAAAAAAAAAAAGATACGAGGACTTACGAGCCTAAGTGTTAGGTAATTGACTAATATCGATAACAGCTTTATCGTTAGAATAATACGGATACCGGAATTGAGGTCTTACTTGAGTATAAAAAAAACAATATTTGTACTACCTAATATTAATTTTTTAATTTGTATACACTTAACTAAAATAAAATAAATTGGTCTGGATATAATATAAGTTTATTCAAAAAAGGTTGTTAATTTGTTATATCACAAACTCACAATTATGAAAAAACAACTTTACTTTTTAACATAACTACGACAGAATAACATAACTTTTTATTTCAATCATTGAAACATAAATAAAAGTTATGGAAATGATATTTTAACATATCAGATTGTAATTGAGTTCACGTTTCAATCTTCGGGTTTTTATTTATCAGAGACCAGTAACACGCATCATTCAAATTTTATTATAGTTATTTCCGAGTTGTTGTGCATTGTTGATATAATACATACCAACACAATAATATTCGGTTCCTGTTTCGTACTAATGTTATATATTAATATTTACTTATTTCCGTAAATAACTGTACTCACTGCCTCGGCCCACATTGATTATCACAGCGTTCGGCTTCTTTAGTGCCATTCGATCCTTATTTATGATATGCATGGTTTCGGGCACCAAAACTGTGGCCAAAATAATGTAATCACTGCGTCCAACTAAATCGTTGGTCGACACCAATTGTCCTCCAAGACATTCCACTGATGGCACAAAAAAAAAACTAACCATTCAAACTGAACAGTATTTTAAAATAGAAATTGTTTCGTCCACACTCTTACCCTCGGGCTTTGGTTTACGACTTGTGTACAGAAGTTCACTCAATTTGAACCCGCTCAGCATTTGTGCCACCTCAATGCCAATGTTTCCGCAGCCAATTATGCCGACTACGGAATTCGTTAGGCCCGTACCAAGTGATGTTGGCAATTTACCTCTAAAATCGTACGAATGTTCATCATTGTTATTAATATATCATTATTTATTATTATACACTACCTACTACAACGACTGCACTGGTCGTACCTAATAGCGCATACCTACAGGTTTAAATAAAGTCAATTAAATCGCATTTAAATTGTACTTTTTGTTCGTATTACATATTAATGGCGAGTTGTATTATTATTGGGGAATGAATGACTAACTATTTTCTTCATAATAATATAAATAATCTATATAATTATTGTAGCATTCACAATCGATGAATTGTACATTTTTTTTTTAAACTGTTTCTTCTCAACAAAATATTTAATATTTTTTTTTCATTTGCGTTGATAATTGTACAATTATTTACTACGTAAAAATCAAAAGTATACTACTGATGTTTGAAACGTACGATTTCAACAGTTGGTTTGCATCAAGAAAATGTCTCGCCGTTGCAATTAATAGACCAACTGTGAGTTCTGCCACTCTATCCGTAGTAGCGTGTACAGTGTTTCCTAATACGATACCTCTTTTTTTTAGAGCATTTGTGTCGATACATTCATAACCCATAGATGTTGAACTGACAACTCTAAGACTAGGACCTGGAATTTACAATATATTTTATCATACATTTTTATATATTTCTATTGGACAATATGTAGATTTATGAAGTTGACTGTTATATTTTACCATCGTAATTTAAAAATTAACCATGGTTACATTTTTACTAATAAATTCATAGTACCGTATTTTACAAGATTGATGTAAATTTTGAAATATTTTGGCTCATTTTGAACTACTTATAGTCTATAGATACATATTTAATGTGGGTTTTTTTTATTTATGTGTTGTATGCATGTTAAAATATTAGTTTATCATATAAAAACTTGGAAATTAAAAAAAAAAATCCTTATAAGTTTTTCTTAAAGAAATAAAAAAATATCAAAAATCTTTGCCCTAAAGTTAAATTTTTTCAAAATTTGTCAAAACTATGAAAATTTGGAAATGATTTTGTCGTTATAAATTCTTAAAATTTTTAAATTGAAAATTTAATCCAAGATCTCACATAAGTTACTTTACTAGATTAATACTATTCCTACCTATTTAAAAATATTTTAAAAGACAAGAAACACGATTTTTTTACAAACGTTTGAAGTCCATATTATGTTAACAAAATTTGTCAAAACCACGAAAATTCTGAAATTATTTTCCAATTGTAATAGTTAAATCTTGACAGTCCAATACAAGTTTAGATTAATTTGTATATGTAATACACATAATATAACTTATTACCTATACTAATTTAAAATACATTCACTATACTATTATTTTTATTAATTTTTTTTTATAGCAGGTAGGTACATTAGTTTACTATTTCAAACGATCATTCTAGTACATCATTAAAATAATCACATCATTTTTTTATTCTTTATTATTATGCATTTGACACTAGAATCATTAACCGTAGGGGGGAATTATATTTTATATTTTGTCATAATAATCATACAAAGGTAATAAGGTAATGATTCAAATAATAATAAATAATAATAGTACATTTTTGGAATGGTTTTTTGGTTGTACAGATTGGTTTTTTAAGGAAATGCGTTATTCAAATGTTATATATAAAATATCGTCTTAAGTTGTTTCCTTAGGAACCATAATTTAAGCTATAATAAGGTTATAAGCTATTATTTTTGTTCATTATTATACATAGTCCACAATTATTGTTAATTTACCTGCTGTTTCGATCAAATGTTCGTCTACAAGTATGTTATTCCCAGATATAATCAATCCAAACGCACCAGGAATGTTATCTAATAGATCTTGATAAGTTGAATCGACCATATGTTTGTTGATTATTTTTACTTCAAACCTATAATCAAGTTATATACTTATATATTAGATTTAATTACAATATACTTATTGTTCTGCAATTACAACAATATTATACAACCATGATTTAAATTAAATATAATATACGTTACATTTTAATTAATTGGTCAATGATTGCTGGTAAAAAATCATTGTGTGACAATAATATCTTGGGTTTCGACATATTTGTGTTAAAATCTATAAAACGTACTTTTATTAATTTAGTTGCTACATTAAATTTAATTGTTACGTTGTTCTTAGATTAAACAACTAAATACAATATGAACACGGATTAGTGGTTAGTAACAGTAAATTGAACTCACATTCGACAATCTTCATTATAATATTTTGTGAACAGACAACGATTAAGTAATTATTATTTACTGGGATTATTTACTACATCATAGTGTTATCTTTTTTTTTACATTATTTAAATAAACTGTACTTAATACTCTTGCGTGTAAGTACTCAAGAACATACTTATTATTACAATACATAGTTGTTCATTTAAAAAAACTGACAATATACAAAATGCTTTAAATACAGTTACTTAATCATAACAAAACAAATATTGTTAGTTTCAGTTATTGAATAATAGAGTATATAATTGAAAAAATTCTAATCTATACAAATGATTTTAAATGTTGGTCATATTATGAATTTTATCTTATAAAAAGAGTATAATAGCAAAAATATCATTGAGTTTATAAAAAGGTAGGTACCATAATATTATACCTTATACTAAGTATCAGATCTATGGTAGGTATTGCTGTGTTTATTTAATAAGTATATAAGAACTGTATACATAGATGAATATTGTTTACTAGAATCTGAGGGGTATATAGCTATTATGAACTGTAACATAAACATTTTTTTTATTCTTATTATTATTTAAGTAACTAATAAACTATTAATATGGTCATACTTAGTAATAATTAAAGTGCATAGATCAATATTTTAAACTTACTTGAAAGTAAACAGTAAAACACTCGAATGGAAAATCTTTTATATTCAAAATATATTTAAATTAAATATTAAATGTGTTACCTATCTAAATTAAATTGAGTTGATTCTGTGATACGATACGTTTAAACGCCTATGTATTATGAATCATTTCACTGTACTAAAAATAATATTACTAACGCACTGTGAATTTTTATCAGCATAATAATATTCGTATAGAATACTAGTATCATCAGCTGTTTACATTTAGTACCTAACATACTGGTTTAAGTGTTTTAACATGCTATTCAAATAATTCAGTAATCAATATTATTTTTTTTTTGTTATATTTGTTTGTATTGGTTCTATAATAGAATGTGTTTTTTGGTGTCATAAGTTTAAGAGCGAATTTTTAGGTTTTTAAAAGTTCAAAATACGATTATAATTTGATAATATTATGCTTTAAGAAACCTTGAAATATTCGCTTCATAATCATAAAAGTATAAAACTATTAAAATATGTTGAAAATACGTTATTTTAAATTTTCTAATAATTTATAAATCTTTAACATATATATACTATATATATAATATATATAGGCTATAGTTTAGACATATTCAATATGCTGTACTTGATTAAGAATGAACATATCAGAAAACCTTGACCCTTTTCTTGGTCCGATCCCGATGAACAACGAAACAATCTAACAAATTATAAAAATCAACAACCTTTTAAAAAAATCTAAAAAAAAATGCACTAATTAAGTATTGATTTTACATTTTTTTTCACTCTCATAATAATTTCCCTAATAATCACAGCAAGTTTAATATTGTAAATATTTAATCAACACTATTACGTAAACAAGTTGTTAGGTTTGAGATAAATTATAAAAAAAGTATATGTTTATATTGAACTTTATAAATTTATAATATTTACAGTTACCAATTACCATCTATCAATAATAATGTAGCAGTTTTAAACAAATCTATAACATAACAATTTTAACTTTTAACATTTACTAACTTTAGTTGAGTTACAAACTCATAAGCCAACTCAACATCAAAACATATTTTAAAACTCATTAAAAAAAAAACATTTGATGTTATTATTAATTTTATCATAATTATTTAAAACTATATTATATTTATACAATATTCTTATTTATAAATTTTTTTTTTTTTTTTAATTGATCCTGAGCCCGGCAACTGTGGCCATTAGCTATTAGTAGGTACTGTAGGTTTTTGTATTGATGGTTTGTAGGTTTTTGGAACGGTAGGGGGAACACGTGTGTGTTTGTTTTGGCAGAATTTCGAATGGGGCACCCGTAGGTTTCTGCCATGCCCCGGGGGTGGGGGATGGCAGCACTTGCTCTCCGGTCACCGCGACTTGTCCGGAGAAAAATGCCGCCCGGTGGCCGAGGATCGAACCGCGACCGGCTGCGTCGCAGCGGAAGAGTCAGACCACTCGGTCACCTCGTCCCCCTATTTATAAATTATAGTAGCGTTAAGTGTTAAAGTGTTATAAATTTATAAATTTATATGCATTTTATAAGTATACCTATAACAATTTAAATTATATTACTGCATTACATTATAGTACAAAGTTGTTGATTTTTCATCACTTAAGATTCTAGTTTTTCTTATATGTTATTTTATAAATTATAATACAATTAACAGGAATAGACCATATTTTATATACTCATACAGTTATCCACAGTTACTAACTTAATTTATTATTATTAACATAGTATAGGAATTCCGAATTCGTAGGTAAACCTTGGTTGATAACTGAGTATATATTTACTAACAGTGTTTTCTGTGTGTAGTCAATACATAATTAATAATCATCTATCACTGGAAAAAGTTAAAAGAAGCAATTATATTCTTCATAATTTCATTGAAATATTTCAAGAAGAGTGAATTTTTCCGTTTCAAGTGAAATATTTCAAATCCAGGACGCTAATGGCTATAAATCTATAATATATTATTTATAATATTATATTCTATTGCATACATAATATTGATATAATGACTCGGCTTATTACGATCAATAATATTATTGCACTCACATTATCCACAATTTGGTCCTCCCGGCTTATTGTTTCGAAAAGTGCCACTATAAGATCGTTCATTACTTCTATGATTATTATTATTATTATTATTGCGTTTGTGTTTATAAAACGTACTGTTTCACGATGCAACACGTCAGCTGAAGTGTCTCGTTGGTCATTAATTTCGGCTCGTCACGGTTCGTTCGGCGGTCATCCGTCATTACGTTTCTATTCCCCAACACGATAGAACGATCACTGAGCGTGAAATATTTCACAACTTCAAAGTACTCGAAATTATTATTAATATATATAAATGTGAGTACTGTATATATCGTGCGACGCGCTGTGCGGCCGTGTCTGTCGTCGTTTATAGCCGCTGAGCTACCGGACGAGGAAACCACGTTTGAGTGTTTGAAGGCAGTTGCGTTTATAGGAGTTTTTTTTCACTCTTTCATTACTACAATTATACTACCTACCCAATCTTATTAGGTCTGTCTATTATTCAATTGACAAAATTAGAATACATCGCTTTTGATAATAATTATTATAATATTGCGCTGCTCGTACGCTTGTTTTTTTTACGTGTTTATAGGTGATATAGTGAGAATATAATTTACGAGTGTAGCAACGTTCCCTTATTAAGAATAAGGTAAACATAGGTAAATATTTTGTTTTCTAAAATCACATTTAGCCGGTTACAAATCTAACAATAAAAATAAAAACAGTAGATTTTGAGAAGAGCCAAATTAAAATCAACTTGTTTTAAATTTATAATAATAGATAATTATAATATAGCGTACCTACTACCTAATATAAAAATATAAAATTGGATAATATAATCAATAATGCACCACATTATAAGTAGATTTTTAATGAAGTGTGTATGTGGAACATAATTCACTTAGTTTCCGTCACGAACTTGTGTGAATATTTTTAGGTCGAATGTATCGGAGTATATGTTTTTTTTTCTTCATAAGATCAGCTTTCGAGTGTTAAGATAAGAAATGGATCCCATTAACCTTAGCCCAACAAAGATTTGAAGTATATAATATGTCGTTGAAGTGGTGTCGTTTGATGGTGTTTCCAACCACACTAATTTTTAAAATGGCAAATTCTCTCACATTGTTGTATTACATTTGACTATATACCCATATAGTTTGGCACATGTGAAATATGAACTATGAATTGGCGTGGTTGGGTGAAAAGAAGTATAAAATATTTACACGTTTACCTTAATTTGAGTGGCCTAGGAGGAGGTGGCTAAGAGTCAAGAAGTCCAAATACCGAATCTCCCTCCCCCGACGTTTATGACTTTATTTGAGTGTCGGTAGTAATACTTGTGTACAGCTGTTGCTGCGAAGTAGATAAAATATGTTGTAGAAACATAACACGAAAACGTGTTTAGGGACGTTTTTTTTTT